AAAAACGATATTTGAAGTGTAATTTAATTGTTTAGTTGGTCTCACGTGCCGCTGAATAACATGGGGAGGCGGGGTTTATGACCTATACTAGGACCGGCCACCGGGGGGGGGGGGGGGGCGATCGAGACGTTTTGGCTTCACTTTTCAGGGCTTGTGCGGCACGCTTGGTTCAAACACATTCATACCATAATATTAGATGTAATCATACAAAAACGTATTTCAGTTTAAAGTAAATACAGTAAAGTTACATTTGATGTTGTTCTCAAATGCTCCCTTCCTTCCAAAGGAAGTGGTCAGCAAAGTTCTCCTGGGAAACTCTAGGTTCTATTACAGTGAGCTCTTACTGTCGTTCCCCTTAAAGGACAAACCGCTTTCCCCAAAAAAAACTTCTCACACTTCTCTGTTTTCATTAATGCTCTGCGTTGATGAGAAATGACTGTCGAGTTTCTCCAGAGGAGGAGAAAGGAATGACGCAACTCTCGGTTTACACTTCAGAAACATTGTGTTCTCTTTCCACCTGCCTGCGTGGCTGGGTCTGCCTGCTCCAAAGTTAGACACCCAGCATGAAATATTAAAAAAACAGATGATATAATAAGAGAGCAGTTTGAAGTCACGGGAAGGACAAGAAAGGGAGAGACGGAAAAAAATGAAGACATCAAGTAAAATCTGTGGAGACGTTCAGGAGAGAGGTTAGTGTTTGTTTAGTGAGCTGGCACAACGTCTCTCTTGTTAGCATGAGAAGTACAGAAGTGGCAGCTTGCACCGACACCATGGTGACCGCTGGAATTCTGGGTAGGTCAAACATGAGTTTTGCGAGTAGAACCCATATAAACACTCCTGGTTCAAACAGAGGGGGCCTCTGAAACTAAACGAAAGAGGATGAATGTGCATGACGCCAAGTGCTGCAGTTAAAGGTTTGATCAAAAAATATGTGTTAAATGAATTTACTGCAATTCACATAGCAGAAAGGGTTCGAAAGCCACAAAGAAAGGTGTAATTAGGGTTTTCATGAGCCGTGTGGTTACATTTCCTAGGAAATAGAGGCTGATTAATCTTCCCTATGAAACAACAAAACAACTTTTGTATTTACACAAACCTGCAGTTTGCAAAAGTCACTAGAAGTATGATATAATTATATATCAAAATGTACAGGATGGTCCAGTTTCAGATGGCTTTTGGGACACCATGGCAACGTGAAACAGGTTCCAATAAACAAATAAATAAATGTATGCAGTTAGTTACAATGATCAAGGAAATACTTATATTTGTTTGTGTAGGTGTCTGTGTGGTTGCTTTGTCTGACAGATTTGATTTATCAGTAGAACTTAACAGCATTTCACGATGTGGCTCTAATATACTCCAGTCGTGCCAAGATCAATCCAATCCCACTGGAAGCGCAATGAAAATGAGTGGCGTCTATTTTGCAGCTCACACAGCAGTCTGTAAAATTCCTCAATGTTGTACTGAGACTGAAGTTGCTTAAGTCTAGTTTTCATAGCATTGATCAGCATGAAAAACAGGGCTGTCAATCAATCTATACATACTATAGTTTGGTTTTTAAAAAGTAGACGCACAGCGTCCGAAACCGAACACTTACTTACTATATGCAAAAAATAATACGCCAAATGAGTAGGATGTCCGAATGCATAGTATTAGGTCCCCGGATGACATACTACTTCCACCGAGATTCTGAAGTGGGCATTTGATGGACACTTGATGGGGGATTTATGAATAGAAGTGAAGCGTCATAACTGATGCTGGTAGGTCATGTGACAGTAACAACATGGCTCATGTAGTACGTCCGAATTTCATTCATAGGCCCTGTCCCAAATGGCACCCTAAACACTCGCAGCCTTCCTTTGAGTTTTTACTCAGATTTGGACAAATCATTACGACTGACATGGTTACATGTGACTTTTCTATTCCGACTGTGCTATAGTGCGATTACAATTGGTTATTATGGTTCATGTAAACGAAGCTAATGTCACATGGCACAGCGTGTATAGGTTAATTTGTTACTTTGGTTGTAGGGTTAATAAAACAGCATCTCTAAGCAAGTAAACAAGAGACATTCCTTCCTCTCATGTTACAATGTGCCACCGGAGAAGCTACGTGATGCATGTGGCTGGATATGAATGGACACTTGATGCACGTTTTGGAAACCTTCCATGGACAACGTAGTGCAGGTCTCTGCCGCTTCAGGCATGTCTGATCACCTCCAGACACAATCCTTTAAAGAATCAAACACTGCACAAAGCTTGATCCCCATACCATGTGCATGAATTGTGCATGCTATACGGTGGATCACACTATGCAGTAATTTAGATTTTTAGGCTATGGTGATAAATCAAGTATTACAAGTGCGTAAACCAAGGTTTGCTTAAACAGACCAGGTAGCATCCTGGAGATTACTTCGGTAAAACCATTTCCTAGCTTTACCAGGAGAAAATGGCTAGATAAGCAGAGTGCTCTAGTGTAAACCACTTATAGGTGTCTTTTTAAATAGCTTTCTAATGCGCTTTAAGCACTGCAGCATGGTGTGTATCAAAGAGAGGAACAAAAGAGAGGCTGAGCAGATGTAGTTTCTTCTCCTTCAACCCGTGATCCTTCTTGATAGGCACATAATGAGAAGCAGACCAGCGTTCACACCGGAACACAGACACACATTCATTATTCATGCCAAATTAGCTTCTTTATTCGAATAGTGGGAAGGTGGAAACCAGCAAAGCGAGGAGAATGTTTGTGCCATTGGGATGGAGGGACAGCCTGGCTCTTTTCCCTTGGTGAAGTGTGTGCTGTTCTACAGATCGGAGTGTGTTTTATATCACTGTACAGGTTTTGAAACTGCAGAGACTTGTCACCAGTGAGCTGGAGTCAGTGTGACCACAGCAGTTTCCTGAATTTAACTTAACTAGTGTTGCACACTGAACAGTTCATTGGCAGTAATTTGAGCCATTTAAACAGTAGACGCTTTGTTTATTATAAGTGTGAGCCAAATATAGAAGTCTACTACAAAATACTGACTCACTAAGAATAAACCGCACTCTCTGGTAGCAGTTTTTATATGGCACATGTTCAATTCACTTATAATAATGCTAATCAGGTAATACCAACGAAACTCTCTGCTGAGCGCAAGTTACATTGTTGTGCAAATGTACGACAGGTTAAACTTGACTTAGTGAATAAGACGCAGGCTTGTGTGCTAAATGGTCACAAATGTTTAGTGAATTCAACCCTGGACACTTTCCGTTCATTCAGGTTTACCTACATGACATTTGCCATTAGGGTGAGTGACAGTGTATACAGAGACAAAGACACACCGGAACACACTCAAACGGAGAGAATGAGCAGGATTCCTCGTGCTATTAGATAGACAGTTGAGAAACACCAGTTAAAAGAACAGTTGCATTCTTTCTTACAATACAGCATGATCCTGAGGACAACACAAGAACAAACGGCGAAGGACAGAAGGAACAAAGTGCAACAAGAAAATACTGGTCAGTAGAAAGAGCTGAGGCATGAGACAAGAAGAGAAAAGGAAAAGAAGAAACATGAAAAAGATGAGAAAAAAAATGATATGATGAGCAGACAAGTAAAGAGAGACTAGATGAGAAGAAGAGACAAAATGAGAAAGGAAGAGAAGTCAAGGAAAAACAAAAAAGAGAAGAGTATCTATATAAATAAAGGTGACTTGACTTGACTTGAAGAGTAGAGATGAGATGAGATGAAAACGAGACGAGTCGAGATGAAATGTCAAGATAAAATGAGAAAAGATGAAAAGAGAAGACAAGACACAACAAGAAAACAAGAAGTCAAGATAAAATGAGAAGAGACAAGACGAGTCAAGGTGAGAAGACAACACGATACGAGATGAGTCGAGTCGAGTCGAGAAGAGAAGAAAAGAGAAGAGAAGAGAAGAGAAGAGAAGAGAAGAGAAGAGAAGAGAAGAGAAGAGAAGAGAAGAGAAGAGAAGAGAAGAGAAGAGAAGGACGGGATGGTCTTTGGATATGTTGGCAAATGAACAAGACCTCCATGCAGGACAGGTAGACCCTCAAAAGAGTTAGTCGGCATGTTCAGGCAGGTTTAGTGTAACCCCCCATCACAACCTGAGCCAGTTTAAATGAAGGTGAGAAATAAATGAGGAAAGGTGACTCGGATAAATGAGTGAAGAAACATAGAACAAACACAGCAAGCCCATTTCGTCTGTGTCTCTGCACAAAGAGGATTTGTGGAAATGGCAACAACAATTAGTTTCATTTACTTTTCTGACAATGCAGCGTGCAATTGTATTTATTAAATGAAAAACAACCACGTGCCGCACGCCACTGCTTGAACAAAACCACACTTTTGTCTTAAAAGGCGTCAACATTCTCCATCACAAAAGACTTTGTACCTTAGTGATGAAAGCGATCATCTAATATGATCAATAGTGCCATAGTAACTTAATAAAGCCATAGTATGCTGTGTTTACAGACTCATTGTGGCCCTTCTCTTTACAATTCCCTCCAGCCTGCAAAAACACGAATGGACGCACCCAAAAGTGCCAGCGATTCACGCGAGAGGAAGTGGTTTGTCTTTAACATGACAGATGTTGAAAGAGAGGGGACGTATTATGTTGTTGGAGAATAATGAGACGGCTCAGAAATTTTAAATAGAAGCTTTGTTATTGTTCGATGACTGACGTGGAGATGCACGTGTATGTTGCACATTATGTTCGCAGTGGCACAGTGGTTATGTAAACGCGGTAATCCACCTCCATACAAACATGCCAGAGGCCAGCATGAACCAATCAGCTCTTGATATCTGCTTTCTGTTTATCAACAGTTCAGCAAGTGTTACTGTGCATGGGAGATGACAGGGTTTCCAGCCCGTAGCCTCCTCAGAGCTCTTAAGTCGACTCCACACCAGCCTTTATTTATAGTCTCGAACCAGTCGGCTCTTTTACACACTTTCAGTAAATGGACAGAGTGAGTTGTCCATGTGCGTGTCCGTGCACTTACTGTAAGAGAAACTCAGGCGAGGGGTGACGTCGTCTTCTGCTGCTTGACCCCATCCAGCCAGGAGGACAATGAGGAGGAACAGGAAAGAGAACCGTGTCATGTTTAGTGTCCACATTTTGCTCCTTGTGTCTCAGTGTGTTCTGTCTCTGGATTTTCTGGCGCTCATGAAGATCTTTTCCCTTGCTTGTTTGTTTTTCTTCTTCTCCTCAAGCTCCTGAAATGAGAGCAGCGTATTGATGTGATGACCGGTGGTCACCTTCACAGGGCCTCACAATGGTGGATTTCCACTAAGAAACAAGTCCTCAAGGACGACGATACGGCCCAATTCAGTCTCCATGTGCTTGTGTAGACTCACACAATCTGAAACAAACAAGACAAGAATTGTCACATTAAAATGAGATAAAATTGTATTACTGGTGGGAGCCGTTTCATCAAAAAAAATTGGTGTAGAAACCAATTTCATTCAGACATTGCTAGTATATTTCAAAGGTTGGAACGAACAATTACAAAGAAATGGCACGTAACACATTGAATTAAACGTGACATTTTTAAGTAGACAAACTGAAATAATATTATCTTGTAAAGCCCAATTCACACTGCACCGAAAGACGCGGACCAATGCAGACAAACAATTACAATACATCACTTCTCAGACATTCCACGACCCGACAAACGCCGACTCAACGCATTCAATCGGCGAAAACAAGCGCCGACCAACTGTAGAAGATAACGACAGGGGTAACACACTGATCCGACAAAACTCATTGGTCGGCATCTGCCGGTGCAGTGTGAATTTGTCAGGCATTTGTAGGCAATTTCGGACAGGCTAGCAATAGCAAGCTAACTTTGAAAGCATGAGACCCTCCCTTCAGAGCGTCTCCTTCAAAACGCATGAACACACACAGCTGTGTCTGCAAAGCGTTACGAGACATGAGACGGCGTTAAATTACCTCATGTCTCAAAGCACATAACATTTCAATAATAATGAACGTAAACAACTTACAGAGCTCTAGTTGTACCACCTGACTGGTGCAGATTCATTTCGGCATTGATAGTGTTGACATATAAACGCATAAATCCGGGTCTGAGGGGTTCCCGTCTCTAAATTACGGTTACGACATGACATGTACGCAGCATAAGCTTGTTGTTTTGGTTTAGGAGGAACTGTAAAAGGCGGGTTTTAATATTTAGACCACTTCTATTATTGATTGCTATCAGGATGTAAAGAGAGTTTCAACCAGTATAACAGAAAGTGTTCATAAAACAAATTGCCTACCCTACCTTTAAGGTAGCCAAAGCGTTTCCCAGCTGAAGGGCTGAAAAGCGAAAAGTGCCCAAAACCCCTTTAAAACTGACAAACAACTTTGACTTAATTAAGACCATGTGCATAGAGTCCGTGTTTATCTATTTCTAAATGAAGCAAACATCCTCTTCATGCTACGCTAAACCAACAATACGATGTGAAATAGTCGCAATATGTCACGCTTGAAAGCACCAGGAGACGTGGGAGTTCAAACCAGCCGTCTCCTACCTGTATGGTAAACTCTCCGTGTGGGGTTATATCGCTGAAAATCATCAGTAAGATTTGGATGTGCCAAGAATTGCCGCATGATTGAGAATATGTAGCCCTAAAGCCTGGCTCACACTACAGGAGTTTTAGGCCGATTTATGCCCGATTTTCCCCTCCCGAGAATCGGAGAAAAAATCTTGTCGAGGACCTCGATCGGTTCCGATGTTCGGCACAGATTATCTGGTAATGTGAGGCATTCACAGATCGAATCTTGCACCTCCCGATCTGCTCTTACATAAATCGGGCTCGCCCCGATCATATCAAACATGTTTGATATTTATCGGGATGAGCAAGATTGTGATTACGTCAGTACTGTCACAATAGCCAATAAGTAGGGCTGTCATGGTGAAGGAATTTCCATTGAGGTAATTTTGAGTGACTCAACAGCGCGAGGCGCGCATTATCTCCATTTATCCATTTATTGCTAAATAAATAAGCATAATACAGTATAATAAATAATAATAAAATACTAAATGCATAATAAAGGCATCTGAAATAATAAGTAGCCTACAATCTAGTGTTGTCAAAAATATAGATTTTTCGATATCGATCCTGAACCATCTGCAACTCTTCCGTCTTCCGCAGGATGCTCGCGATCTTCAGTAGTGAACGCGCCAGAGAGAAATGCACATTTCATACGGATTACATAAGCAGAGTGCAGTCTGTAGTCTGTTTTCTTTCGTTTTGAATTGTTCTGTTTAAAAGTAGACATGTCTGTGAGGCAAGTAGGCTATCTTATACGCTGAGTTTCGGTTAATTTATCAAGTATCGCCGACGCCTCCGTTTCGTGATTATCTATCGTCTGCTATATTTACTTCTTATTTATAAAAATCCAGGCAATTGGTTGATGAAACATTGTTTAAAATTAAGATACAATTAATACAAAACGAAATTCGATTTAAAGAAAGGTTTTGTGCTTTCTGTTTGATGTCTTTGTGAAAGTTTTAAAGCATATTTTAAAGTCGCTTAGAGCGGTCATGTCCGTAACATTGTTTTTTCCTCAAATGCCAACACGAAAAATAAAATAATATGAATATTTTATGTTCTGTGGAGACTGAGAGCCCTTTCTTCATCCGGTGGGTAGTAGCTACTGTAGGCTATTACTTTGGTTTGCACAGTGTAATTCACAGAATTAGGCCTAGGCCTACACAAAAATATTTTCATTATAAAATATTTATATTCATTATAAAGTTATATTCATTCAAAGATAGGTTAAATGAAACCAGCTGTTAATTATTTTAATTTTAACTTTGAGCTCCACTTTACAATGCTCAGCTGTGCAGCAATGGGCATTGAGCAACGCTGCTGATGCGTTACCTTATAGAGATCTATGGCATTGATTCATTGTATTGAACAGAGCTGACGCCATTCATTAGAAATATCCTTATTAAAAGGATGATTTTTTTTTTTTAAAGATTTCGCTTTCCTTAGTCACACGGCAACCTTTTCACGAATATGACTTGTTATGAAGGACAGATATTTTGTTTAGCCTACATCCACCTTTCCGCTTCCGATCTGTTGCGTGAGATCACGTGAGGCGCTTTCTCTGGCACGAATCTTAATAACATTGTGTAGTGTGTGATGCGCCATGATTTTCAAATCTTGTAGTGTGAGCATGTTTAAGATTTGAGGTAAGAAAATCTGCAAAGATTCTCCTTAAGTGTGAGCTGCAACCAGATTTCAAAATCGGTTAGGATTTTAAAACTCCTGTAGTGTGAGCGAGGCTTAAGGGACACAGATTTACACAATATTTACTCACTGATCAGCAGGGCTCTATGTCTGCTTAATCAGCTCTAATCGCTTAGGTGAGCATGTTTGGGTCAAAGTTTGTAGAAAACTGCCCTGTTTAAAAGACCTCCACTGCTGGTCACTGGAATATGTTGCGTTTTAGTGTTAGCAACTAACCATTCCTTGGTCAACCAATATCACAGGAAAGATCATGCTGGTGCACTAGCATTTGTTGGTGAACAAAATGAACCAGTCTGAACCAACATCCTTCTGACGTAAGCCGGTCTTCTGGTGTAAGGATGATAAGGCAATAAATAAGTACTTCCTGGAAATGGTGGTATCGCTTATTAGACTATGGAATATGCCTCATTTTCTGTTTACATGTTAAGTTGCAAAGTTCGGAGAACAGTTGTTTGCCATAATCACCTATCATCATTCATCAGTTCCGTTTCATAAAGCACTGTTCCAAGAATGGATTTTCAACATAATGCCATACAATGTATAATTTCCAGCCTCCTGTTAAGATGACCTTGATTTGCTCCCATTTAGATAAGAAACATAAAGGCGTGGGGTTTGACTTCCAGGCAAATGAAATGGACTTTAAATAAGTTGAATAGCTTTGCATTTGATATGTGATCTATAGTTACTGCACAGAACCCAACCCTGTCATCAGCCCAATATGTCAGTGGGCGAACACTTAAGTGGTTTTCATTACTCTGGCTACGTAGACGAGCCTTTTAAGCACAACCACAAAGTTAATCCAATTTCAATACCCATTTAGGTTTAGGATTTAATATCAACATCAAATGTGTATACTTTATTGTTATGAACTGCCAACAGTTAAGGGCTAACAAATGGTATGTGGTATAAAATCAGTATTTGAAGTAGAAGAAAATGCAGTCTGGCTTTCAACAGACAGAATGTAACATATGTCTAAAACATATACGTCACAAGTATGTTAAATATTAAAAGGTGTAATTATTAAGTTTTAATTGTGAAAGATGTAAGCTTTAAGGAATAGTTGACCCAAAAATGAAAATTCTATCATCATTTACTCAGTTGTTCCAAACCTGTATTCATTTCTTTCTTGTGCTGAACACAAAAGAAGATATTTTGAAGAATGTTGGTAACCAGACAGTTTCTGGTCCCCATTTTTCTCTCTCTCAATATACAACGGAGGTCAATGGGGAACAGTAACTGTTTGGTTACCGAAATTCTTCAAAATATCTTCCTTTATGTTCAACAGAAGAAAGAACTTCATGCAGGTTTAGAACAACTTATGGGAGAGTAAATGATGACAGAATTTTTCAATTTTGGGGTGAACCCTTTTAAAAATCTATTAGTACATAATATGTAGATGGTCCATATTTGTGCTTTAAAACAAAACTTTAAACGTCAACTCTAATGTAATTTGGCATCAAGCTCTAAGAGTGATACTCCAGGCCAATTTACAACCATTGTACAACTGCCAAAAAAGCAAGGATGCTTTGCTCTAATATAGACAACATGAGAGCACAGCACAAGCTGACAGTCCCTAAATAAAAAGAAGACAAAAACAAGGCTACTTTTCCATCTGGAGCACGACAGACCTTGGACTCCCACAGGAAAGATTCACCTCCCAAACGGGAAAACTGCTGCTTGTTTAAACAGCATCTCAAAAACATATTGGCACAGCACGAGGAGATAAACTGATTACAATTGAATATGGTTTAGGTTTCCACAAGTGAGTTTCTGAAGAACTGCTGAATCATTGATGATTGTGGGTTTATCAACATCAGACAAGTCCTAAAGCAACAAAACACTTTACTACTTGATGTTTATGTCTGATAAGCAGTATATTTGACATCTATGATACCTATGAACAACAAATGATTCAGCAAGTTTAACCTATATTCGCATCCAGAAAATATGGAGCCTCCAAAGAACAATCTTTGTATAATCTGGTGATAATACATCAACAACCACCACAAAAAAGTTAATTTCCCTTTAGAAAAGTTCACAAACTTCATGTGTTTGCTGTATTTTGCATACAGTGTTTCACAACCTTCCCCTGC